GAACTCCTGAATCTGTGATTGGTCAAACATAGCAAACACATTGGATGTTGCGCGCTGAGGGCGCTTCTTGGTGGTCTTGGTCTTTGCTCTTTTGCTTGACATGGTGGTGGTTAAATCCCGGCACAGTTACAAGAATCCGAGCACCTCAGCGAGCCCTTCGCTGCAGCTACCACCACCCTGCTACCCAGAGAGACTAATTTTTGTATTTTTAGTAGAGGCAGGGTTTCACCATGTTAGGCTGGTCTGGAACTCCTGACCTCAGGTGATCCTCCTGCCTTGGCCTCCCTAAGTGCTGGGATTATAGGCGTGAGCCACTGCACCCGGCCTGGGGAATTTATCTTTAACAGGTTTGTTTATGTTGCCTAGAAACTGTCAAGTGACTGGTGCCTCCTGAAAGGGGGAACAATAATTGTTAGTTATCCACAGATTATTTTGGCTCCAGGCTTTCAGCATTATGTCTGCACTGAATAAAAGCAACAGCTTCAGCTTGCTGGGGCTGCTGCACTTTGGTCACTAGAACTGGCCGGTCCCCTAGCTGCTCTTACACTGCACACCTGTGTCTGAATACTCCTTTCATCCATTGCTTGGCCAGGTTCTGCAGGACAGAGCTGGCAGCTCACCTCCAAGCTTACCCTGAAATCAAGGTCCAACCCATAAACGGGAGAAGGAGAAGGCATTTCTGCTGCTTAACCACTGGGGCTCAGAAGTGACCTGAATTCGGCAGGTGCGGTGGCTCATGCCTGTAATCCCAGCACTTTGGGAGGCCAAGGTGGGCAGATCACCTGAGGTCAGGAGTTCAAGACCAGCCTGACCAACATGGAGAAACCAAATTAGCTGGGCGTGGTGGCGCATGCCTGTGATCCCAGCTAATCAGGAGGCTGAGGCAGGAGAATTGCTTGAACCCGGGAGGCAGACGTTGCAGTGAGCCAAGATCGTGCTATTGCACTCCAGCCTGGGCAACAGAAGCAAAACTCCATCTCAAAAAAAAAAAAAAAAAAAAAAAAAAAAAAAAAAAAAAAAAAAAAAAAAAAAAAAAAAGAGGTGACGTGAAGTCATTTCCGCCCACGTTCCGTCAATGGGAACTACTCACGTGGTCGGGTGGAGTTGGGAATGGTGGTCTCTGACTAGGAAGTCACCACCTAGCAACTGAACATCGTCCCTATACCCTGGAAGGGAGCACAGGTCTTTCTTTGCTGGGCAGGTATTTCTACCACACTGTGTGGTCTTGGGCAGTTGTTGAGCTCCTCTGGGGCTCAGTTTCTTCACCAATAAAATTGGGCAATGAATGGGATCTCTCTTTCTCAAAGAACTAAAAATAGACCTATGATTCGATCCAGCAATCCCACTACTAGAAATATACCCAAAGGCAAAGAAATTGTTTTATCAAAAGATACCTGCACTTACATGTTTATCACAGCACTATCCACAATGGCAAAGCCATGGGATCCACCGAAATATGCACTGGTAGACCGGATAAAGAAAACGTGGTGCACGTGCACCACGGAATCCTATGCAGCCATAAAAATCAAATCAAATCATGGTTTTTGCAGCAACATGGATGCAGCTGGAGGTCGTAATCCTAAGTGAATTAATACAGAAACAGAAAATCGAATACTGCGTGTTTCACTTTCAAGTGGGAGCTAAAGCTTAGATACTCACGGACATAAAAATGGGAATAATAGACACAGGGAATTCCCAAAGGCAGGAGGGAAGGAGGAAGGCAAGGGTTGAAAACCTTCTATTGGGTGCTATGCTCACTATTTGAGTTTTGAGTTCAATGGAGGCCCAAACCCCAGCGTGATGCAATATACCCATGCAATAAACCTGCAAATGGACCCCCCCACTGAATCCATAATTTAAAAACATAGAATAGATTTTAAAAATAGGCTCTCTCTCGTTGTTGTGGCCATGCCTGAATGAGTGCTCAGACAATGGCCTGAAGCAGAGTCAGGGCTCATGGTGATCACCATGTTCATGGCTTGCTGAGAACCTGCTTTGGGTGGTACAAGGCTCTTAATCCTTACGCCAAACATCAGGTGCAGGTAACCACGGTGCCGGTTAACAGAAGAACACAAGGAAGTTCAGAGAGGAGAGTGAATGGCCAAAGTCCACACAGTCAGAAGTGTTGAGCTTCTGAGCTCAAGCAAGCACCCACATTAGCTCCATCCGTGTTCCTACTAAAGACATGATCTCATTCCTTTTATGGCTGCATAGTATTCCATGGTATATATGTACCACATTCTCTTTATCCAGTCTGCCATTGATGGGCATTTCAGTTGATTCCATGTCTTTGCTACTGTGAATAGTGCTGCAATGAACATACATGTTCATGTGTCTTTATAATAGAATGAGTTATATTTCTTTGGGTAGATACTCAGTAATGGGATTGCTGGGTTGAGTAGTATTTCTGTTTTTAGGTCTTTGAGGAATCATCACACTGTCTTCCACAATGGATGAACTAATTTACACTCCCACCAGCAGTGTCTAAGAGTTCCCTTTTCTCTGCAATCTTGCCAGCATGAATTGCTTTTTAACTTTTTGTTTATTTTTTTGAGACAGAGCCTCACTCTGTCACCCAGGCTGGAGTGCAGTGGTGTGATCTCAGCTCACTGCAACCTCCACCTCCCAGGTTCAAGTAATTCTCCTGCCTCAGCCTCCCAAGTAGCTGGGATTACAGGAGCCCACCGCCATGCCTGGCTAGTTTTTTTTTTTTTTTTTTTTAAGTAGAGATGGGGTTTCACCATGTTGGCCGGTTTGGTTTTGAACTTGACGTTTTAGTAATAGTCATCCTGACTGGTGTGAGGCTGTATTTCACTGTGGTTTTGATATGTATTTCTGTAATGATCAGTGATGTTGAGCTTTTTTTCACTATTGTTGGCCACATGTATGTGAAAGTGACACATTTAATTGAGTACCTATAACCCTGTTTGCCCACCCTTCCCTTCCCTCTTCCATCAAGGACACTGCTTCAGGTTATGCACAATTCCAGGGCACCATTCACACTGTGACAACATGAATTTCTGGGGAGGGGTCAAGATTTCTACAGTGCACAACCTGTACAAATGGAGTGACGGCTCTGCTGTTTTCTTCCCCTTTTCATTCATTCATTCATTCAATAAATATTTATCGAGGCTGGGACTTGGTGGCTCATGCCTATACTTCCAGCAGTTTGGGAGGCCAAGGATGGAGGATAACAGGAGCCCAGGAGTTCAAGACTAGCCTGGGCAACACAGTGAGACCCTGTCTCTACAAAAAATACAAAAATTAGCCAGGCATGATGGTGTGCACCTGTAGTCCCCGTTCCTTGGGAGGCTGAGGTGGGAGGATTGCTTGAGTCCAGGAGATGGAGGCTGTAGTGAGCTGCAGTGAGCTATGATTGCACAACTGCACTCCAGCCTAGGTGAGAGAGCAAGACTCTGTTTCTAAAAAAAAAAAATTCTCTGCCTTGTAGGTGGTGGAGACATAGCAGGAGATGAGACAAACATGTCCCTGCCTGTGTGGCAAATATTAAACTTGCAAACACAAATAAAGATAAAATGTATAGATAGGTCAGAAATAAGCATATAATTGCAAGTCACATTCATTTCTCTTTCTCTGCTATTCCTGCTCTTGCCTTCCCTCTTCTGCTTCTCTCTCCGTCACAGACACCTCCCCCCAACCTCCCTCTGCGGCCAGTGACAGATACCCCTGATTCCTTCCTGTCTTCCTCCTCTCCAGTGTGTTAGAGCTGATTTGTACAGGCCTGGAAAGGCCAATGGTTTCATAGCTAGGGATTTCATCAACCCTGATGGTAAATTCTTGCTTAAAATTAGACATGCCGTGAGTATTTACACCACAGAAATAGGCAACACTACGAGTGGCTTTTTTTTTTTTTTTTTTTTTTGATGGAGCCCTTTTTTTTTTTTTTTTTTTTTTTTTTTTTTTTTTTTTGAGATGGAGCCTCTTTCTCTCTCCAGACTGGAGTACAGTGGCGTGATCTTGGCTCACAGCAACCACCACCTCCCGGGTTCAAGCGAATCTCCTGCCTCAGCCTCCCGAGTAGCTGGGACTACAGGCATGCGCCACCACGCCCGGCTAATTTTTGTATTTTTAGTAGAGATGGGGTTTTACCATGTTGGCCAGGCTGGTCTCGATCCGTTGACCTCATGTTCCTCCCAAAGTGCTGGGATTACAGGCTTGAGCCACCACAGCCAGCCACAAGGTGGGATTGTGGGTATTGTTTTTCTGAAAATTTGTTTTTTCAGCACACCACTGCCCTTCCACATCCACTTCCAGCAAATACAATTTGCATTTTCCAAATACACCAGAACTCTTTCGTAGATACTCAGTCTCCACTCAGCCTCCGACTAAGTCTTTCCTGGTGGTAGGAAATTGGGGACTTGGGTCCGATGTTGTACTGTGAGGGTAGAGAATAGAAGAGACAGCATGAGAGAAAGGCATGAAACAGGGAATCAAAAGAAAAGCAATATAGGAAGGAAAAAGAAAGAACAGAGAAGCCGGAAGCCAGTGGAGGGTAGAAACTAGGCAGGAAGACATGGGAACAAGCCGATGCCCTCTGCACAACGTCCCCACCGGTAGTTGAGCCATTTCCCCATCTGGGGTACAGGAGTGGCCAGGGAGCCCATGAGAAATGAGGAAACTACCTTCCTTCCCAAACTACTGCAGAAACTGGGTGGGGGTGGGAATCCACATAGCTGGACTCAGGAGGAAAGAGGCTGGGAGTCTGAACCAGGGTGACCCTAGGGTCAAGATGCCACAGTTTCTAACTGTGGAGGACCTGGGGGCCTGGACTCCTTGGGTCTAGGGGAGGAAGGTTGGAGGTCTGGACTCCTGGGTCTGAGGGAGGAGGGGCTGGGGGCCCAGACTCCTGGGTCTGAGGAAGGAGGGGCTGGGGGTCTGGACCCGAGGGTCTGAAGAAGAAAGGGGGTCCCTGATAGGCCGTTGGGGCAGTTGAAACTCAGGGTGGGGCCCAGGCTTCCATTTAAAAGGCCCACTCCCCCCCCCCACCCACCACCATTTCCTGGGCTGGCTGCTTAAGAGCTGGTATAAAGGACTTGTTTCCTGGTGAAAAAGCAGGAAGACGGTGCCAGCTACAGACGAGTTATGAGTCTGGTCTTCCTGCTGGTCCTTGTGGGGGTTACCTTCCCACTGCCAGGTGAGTGATGACCCTAGCCACCTGGGGACTTTCCTGGAGGCTACTGCAAGGGAACCGTGCTGAGATGGATTTGCTCTCTCCACTCCAGGAGTGCAGGCGCTGGTCTGCCAGCTGGGGACAGCTAAGGGTGTGTGGAATGTATCCGACCTGCCCCTGTCGTGGACCCCTAAGGAGACCACCTGCACCAGCGGCTGGGGGTGCCAGGACACGCTGGTGTTCATAGAGAGCGGTGAGGAGGCCCCGCCCTGCCCGCTCAGCCCCTCGAACCCTGTGCTGGGACTCGGCAGCCACCTCCCCGGAAAGAACGATCCCCTCTCAGCCTACGCCACGTTGCAGCGTTTCCCTCCAGGACCCCGGAGGCCTGACCTCCATCCTTGCTTGCCCCCCTCTCTCGGTCCAGGACCCAAAGTGAGCATGGTGCTCTCCAAGGGCTGCACTCAGGCCGGGGACCAGGAGCCCCGCGTCACTGAGCACCGGATGGGCCCCGGCCTCTCCATGACCTCCTACACCCATGTGTGCCGCCAGGGTGACCGCTGCAACAACCTCGTCACCTCCGCCCCGCTCTGGGCCTCGCCGCGGCCAGCAGGTACCTGCGGGAGGAGAGGGAGGGGCTACCAGGAGGGGGTCGGCTGAGCACAGAGGGCTGGTTATAGGGTCCCTCCCGCCCTGGCTCGCCGTCCTGCTCCGGGCTCGTTCCATGCCTCCGCTGACTGCTCCCTGGCCGCCGCCCCGCACCTCGCCTTCCTCTCCATCCCTCCCCACTCCCTCCTGATCCTTCCACCCACCTGCCCCACCCAGGACTCCTCGCACCCCTCCTCTTCTAAGAGCAAACAGGTGATTTCTGATTTGAAATCACCATTAACTGGGTCATCCTGGTTTCTTCTTTTTTTCTTCTTGTATTCTGTTGCGTTTGGTTCAACAAGGTCTCATGTAGGTTTTTTGCATTTCCTCTTCCTAAGGGAGATTGACCTGTAGCTTTCAAGTTTCCTTGGCTGGTGTTCTAAAGTGTCTGGGGAGATGTTTTGCACTTCTTTTATTGGAACAGCTTGTGAACTCAGAAGTTTCCTGTTCTTAGAGGTTTAGCGGCTCTTAGAGGTGAAGCCACTGGCTCCCATGACCAGAGTCTGCCTCTGTGTCTCCCCTCGGAAGGCCAGACTTTGTTGAAAGGTTCAGACTTGACCATGTCTGAGTCTCCTTCTGGCCTCAGCAGGCCCCCTCTTCCACCCTGCCTACCCCACTTTCCCCCCAAGAGCCCCCCCAACCTTTTTTTTTGAGACAGAGTCTGGCTCTGTCACCCAGGCTGGAATGCCGTGGTGCAATCTCGGCTCACTGCAACCTCTGCCTTCTGGGTTCAAGTGATTCTCCTGTCTCAGCCTCCCGAGTAGCTGGGACTACAGGCATGTGCCAGCACACTGCGCTTTTTTTTTTTTTTTTTGTATCTTTAGTAGAGACAGGGTTTCACCATGTTGGCCAGGCTGGTCTCAAACCCCAGACCTTGTGATCTGCCCGCCTTGGCCTCCCAAAGTGCTGGGATTACAGGCATGAGCCACCGAGCCCAGCCACCCCTCAAGACCCCTTTCTGTACCCAGCCCCAGATGCCTTATCCAGACCTCCTGTTCTCTCTCCCCTCCTCTTTCATTGGTTACACTTCTTTATTTTCCCACAGCCAGACCCCATGAGGGGAGCAGCAGAAAGGCCCTTTGGGAAGACTGAGCAGGTTGACTCTTGAGGCCAGCAAAAGCAGGTGCAGAGAAGGTATCTGATCACATCCGGGGCCCTCTCAGTGCCCCCTCACTCTGTTTGTGTCACTTCCCCAGACCCAGGGTCCTTGAGGTGCCCAGTCTGCTTGTCTCCGGAAGTCTGTCTGGAGAGTACAGAAGAGATCTGCCCCAGAGGAAGCACAGACTGCTATGATGGCCTCCTCAGGCTCACGGGAGGTAAGCCTGGCACATCGGGGCCCTATGGGGACTGAACAAAAAGGTTCGGGGACTGAGATCTTAGTCTCTGGGGTGCAAGGGTGAGCTGAGGCATGGCATGAGACCCAGAGGAGGGTGGACCTGGCTTCCTGGAGCTATGCCTGCCTCTGAGGGTTGGGTGGTCCTCAGGACAGCATCAGAGGCTCTCCCTCTCTCCCCACTTTCTGCAGGGGGCATCTCCTCCAATCTGAGAGTCCAGGGATGCATGACCCAGCCAGGCTGCAACCTGCTCAATGGGACCCGGGAAGTTGGGCCCCTGAGTATGACTGAGACCTGCAGTCCCACGCAGCATTCAGAGCCACGGCACCAAAGCCAGAAGGAGAAAGGTGAGGGTGCAGAGTGGACTGCTTGCACGAGGCTTTAGGCAACAGGGAGTGCTGGGGCCCCTGCTGGCTCTCATGCTGCTGGGAGTGCTGGGCTGCTTCCATTTCTGTGTCTCCACACCCCTGGCCTTGGGTAACCCTAGGTCTCCCACTTCTCTAGGCCATTCTAGCCTCTCCAACACCCTCAGCAACCCCGCCCCACCTGTGGTGCTGGAGTGCCCCAGCAGCCTTGCCTGCACAGGAGAGAACATCAGAGAGAAAATCAAGGGTGCTTCAGGTGTGACAGAGAAAGCAAGAGTTAAACGAGGACACTGAGAGGGTCCCTGCTTACCCATTTAGATGCTTCCCTGGAAGACAGTGCCAGGGAGTTTCTCCATAAGAAGGGCTCCAAGGCGGCCGGGCGCAGTGCCTCATGCCTGTAATCCCAGCACTTTGGGAGGCTGAGGTGGGCGGATCACAAGGTCAGGAGTTTGAGACTAACCTGACCAACATAGTGAAACTCCGTCTCTACTAAAAATACAAAAATTAGCCAGGCATGGTGGCACATGCCTGTAGTCCCAGCTACTTGGGAGGCTGAGGCAGGAGAATCGCTTGAACCCGGGAGGCAGAGGTTGCGGTGAGCCAAGATCGCACCATTGCACTCCAGCCTGGGCAACAAGAGAGAAACTCCGTCTCAGAAAAAAAAAAAAGAGAGAAGTGCTCCAAGGTAACGGGAAGCCAGGGTGGGGAGGTGGAGGTCTTACAGGAATCACAGCTTCCCTCCTAAAAGCAAAGTCTTCCCTGCCCACGCCTCGGTGTCCTTGTCTGCCCACACCACACTAGAGTTGTGTGAGCTCTGCACACCTTTCTCTGTGCATTTGCTCTTTCTCTCTGGCTAGGCTGGGAGCCCGAGGCCAGGGGTTTGGTGTCTCTGGCACCAGGGTTTCCAGGCTTGGGTAGCTCAGGGGCCGGCTCAGGAAGGGTACCAGGAGGTGTTTGCTGAAGTGAGGGCATGCAGCACTCCCATGGGGCCCCCCCAATGAGTCAGACCCTGTCTTTACCTGAAGGGCCACTGGGACTAGGAGGGGGAGGTACCACAGACACAGACGGTCACAGCTTGAGGTGATCAGGGCTGTGGCAAACACGGATGTGGGGCCTGGGGCAGCTCAGAGGAGGAAGATGCTGATGTCATGGGGGATAGAGAGTTAAGGAGGGCTTCATAGAGGAGGTGGTCTGTAAACTGCGTGTTAAAGATGACCTGCAGCTCATTGATAGAAGAGGAAGAGGACATTGGTGGCAGAGGAAACAGCGTGTAGAATCCGCAGAGGACTGGAGGTGGCAGTGGGCCTGCTGTTTTCAAGAAGAGTCCCTCACTCCACCTGTGAAGGACTCATCGAGATGAGGGGGTACAGCTGGGATTGGGGGTGATTAGAAGTTTTTCAGGTGGACAGAGTGGGTATAGGGGTTGAAGAGGGAGCTGATCCAAGCCAAAGGAACAGCAGGTGTGAGGTCGAGGAGGAAAGGGCCTGGTGTGCCTTTGGAATGGGTACTGCTAGGGGAGGGGGAGGTAAGTGGGGAACCTGATGGTCGCTCAAGTACCTGAAAAGCCAGGCTGAGGGGTGGACCCTCTCCTGAAGGCTGGGGAGCCATGGAAGATTGTGGAGCAGGGAAAGGCAGGGTCTGAGACATGTTCCTTTCCTTTTGACTGATGCTGGTGTTAGGGTCTGGCCCTGGTCTCTGGGACCATGTGACACTGATAATCCAGAAGGTATTTCAGAAACAAATCAGACACAACACATGCCACACACACAGCCCATCATAAGCACAGCAGACACCAGTGCATCACACCATGCCACATACACACCACACATCACATACCACACACGCTCCCCATGCCCCTGACGTACCACACATGGAATACAATTTGCACACAGAGCACACAACACACTTAACACACACAAATGTACATGTAGTGCGTATGCCACGTCCACACTATATGCCAGGCACCACACATACACACTCCCCCTCAATATATCTCACATGCAATAACATACCACATACAACCCAATCCACACAACACACATGGCATGCCACACACACTACACGCAAACAAAACACAAATACACAGAACATACACCATGCCAAACACACAAATGTTGGAAATACATGCTCGGTGCCACAAAGAAAAATTAGCACTGAGACAAAGCATCTTTTAGCAACGCAATTTTTACTTCCTGGACTGCAGGACGGGTACCTTCACTAGCCGTCTTGACATAAGAGTACAATGAACAAAGGAAAACACACAGATTTAACCCTTATGCATTTGGGGTCGTCCTTACTGCCGTGTCTGACCTACATTGGCTGGAGCCAGACCTCACAATCTAAACTAAAACCCAATTGGCTAACAACTTAAAACTTTCTAAACAGGTAAAAGCAATGGAGAGCTGGGACATGCCTGTGAGCACGTCCAGCACAGATATCTTGGTTAAAGTATAAGAACATAGAATGTACTATGTGCCTGTAAGCATGGCATGTCTAACAGCTACATAGGGCTTAACAAAGAATTAGCACACTTATTCTTTAACCTGAAAGGAAACCTTAAAAAGGACCTTTCCTACTTCCCACACAATAAACCCATACCACATACATCACACACGGTATGTCTGCACATGCACGCGCCACACAAACACCATGAACACACCACACACCCCATACAACCACACCCCTCACACATACATACACACTCACACCACACACCCCTGCACACATCATGCACATACCCCCACCCCCCCTGCACACACACTGCACAAACACACACATACCACATGAAACACAGCTATTATGCCACAAATCAGTGCTCTTAATAGAGCTCCCTATTTATTCTGCTTTCAACACCAGAGCCAGATGTTGGAGGCTGCTTTTGCCTTCTCTGGTGAAACGCAGTCCAGCAGTTTAGCAGACACAAGACCAGGCATCAGACACTAGGGGAACAACAAGATGATGGGGACCAAGTGTGAGAGAGAAGAGGCTCCAGGGTGATGGAACTGCATATAAGAAGCCACAGGAGTAGGAGGGCTGGGTGCAGGGACACAGGTCACTCAAAGGGCCATGGCAGCAGCCCCTTGTGAAGAACCAAGTGTCCCCAGGATGGATAAGGCCTTGGCTGCCCCCAGAGGAGCTGGGCAGGGGTCCCAGTGAGAGAGCAGAGAAGAGTCCCTGTCTGAATCAGGGACACGTGGGTCCCAGGCCCCACTCTGCCGCTGAAACCACTTTCCAGCCTCAGCTTTGCCTGAGGATCCAAGGTCTCCACATCTCATGGAGCCTCTTTCCCTGGATTTTGGGAAGAGGAAGGGATGGTTGCAGACACGGGGCAGAAGGAGATGCAAAGGCCCTGAGGCGGGTGGGTGCCTGCCAGAAGCACATGTGCAGAGCATCGTGGTGGAGAGAGTGGAGCTGGACACCTTTGAGGAGCGGGGAGGCAGCTGTGTCTCATCAGGCCTCCCGGGCCATTGGAAGGGCTTAGAATTTTATTCTCCAGAATGGGGACCTCCTGGAGTCTTCGGAGCAGAGGAGTCACAGGAACTGACTTAGGTTTACCCAGCCTCCCTCTGCCTGCTGGGTGGAGAAGGAAGCAAGAGGAAGAGTGTTGGGCGGGCGCAGGGAGAGCCTCGGGAGGTAGGTGGCGGCCGAGGGGGCTTGGCCCCGATGGAAGCAGAGGTGGTGGTGACATGGGGTTGGGTTCTGAAGATTTTATGCAGCTCAAGCCAGCAAGATTTCCTGAGGAACACAATGGAAAGGAACCAGAGTGGTCAAAGACAACACCAACGTTTTCAGGAAGACCAGCACAAATCAAGGTGGCGGGTGATGGGGGCAGGGAGAGCAGGGTGGGAGAAGGGAGCAGGAGCCATGATTCTGATTTTGTCATCCGTGAAGTAGGCAAATGAGCAGCCCTCCTGGGCAATATCCTTCCTGCAGGTCGCACATGCTGGTAGAAGCTGGGGGCTCAGTCTAGGAGTCCCTGTGTCGTGGGACCCGTTCCCCCTGCTCTGTGATGGCCATGAGGGAAGGCGGGGGCCACACACTAGAGCCCCGAGGGCCTCCGGGCCAAGGTAGCCAAGAATGGTCATCAGTACATCTCCCTCCTGCCCCCAACACTGACCCTGAGGGTCCAGAGTCCCTGGGTTCCCAGCCTACCTCTGCCACTCAAGCTGTGTGGCACGGAAAGCTACTGAGCAACGCTGCCTCTGTTTCCCTTATTGCAAATGACGGTGCCGTTGTGATCACACCACCTACTGTGGGGGTGCTGTAGGGAAATGAGGCATCACAGATGAGCTGAGCTCCCTGGGACCTTAGATGGGTGGATCTGTGGGAAGCAATGACATCAGCCAGGCGCAGAGGCAGTGCTCAGCCCACCTGGGCATCCGCATCTTTTGTTTGGAACATAGAGTTTTGCAGCTGAAAGATATGAGAAAGGTTTCAGGTTCTGAACTTATTATTGCAATGAGGACCTTAAAGCTCAGATGGGGAAGCAGAGATGGGCAGAGGAAAAGGAAGAGCTTCCATTGCTCTCACACCTGAAGCCAGGAATGGCCATTCCCACAGGTGTGAGAGTATGTCCCTGCAGGTGTTCAAGCAGAAACAGGGGGAACGATGCAGGTGGGGTTTGGACTTCCAAGTCCCTCTGAATCTGTGCTTGAGGGACTCCGTGGTCAGGTCAACTGGAGTGTGACTCAACAGCATGATCGCCTTCCCCAGCCCAGGACCTGGATGACAGACATGGTGGGTTCCTGGCTTATACAGACCCTGGTTTTCCTCTCCCCAGATTTTCTGACCTGCTATCGGGGCATCTTCATCCAGTCAAGGGAGAACTTGAGCCAAGAACCCACTGAATGGACCGCAGCTGCCACCGAGACTTGTGAGGCTGGGCAGGTGTGTCAGGAGACGCTGCTGCTGGTAGACATAGGTGCGTAGCCTGAGGTAGAAGATGAACACCTGCCCCAAGTCCCCAGCAGCTCCCTCCACCCCCCTGGATCCTTTCCCCTGAATTTCCTGCTCAGCTCTCTTCACGTCTGTTCTTGTCACCCAGGCTGGAGTGCAGTGGCACTATCTTGGCTCACTGCAAACTCCGCTTCCCAGGTTCAAGCGATTCTCCTGCCTCAGCCTCCCGAGTAGCTGGGATTACAGGCATGTGCCACCACAGCTGGCTAATTTTGTATTTTTAGTAGAGATAGGGCTTTGCCCTGTTGGTCAGTCTGGTCTTCATCTCCTGACCTCGTGATCCACCCACCTCAGCCTCCCAAAGTGCTGGGATTACAGGCGTGAGCCACTGCGCCCGGCTCACATCTGCAATTTTAAATCCAACTCTTATTCTCTCCGCATCTTGGGTTCCTCTTATGAAAACTGGGTGTGAAGCAATGACAATGACAGTGCCTGCCTTTCCGGGTAGGGGTGACGATGTATGTGGTAATCCCTGCCCAGGGCAGAGAACTGTGCCGGCACTGAGGAATCTCAGTGGCTTCATACGGTCCGGAGATGTTTGTCCAGCACTTGTAGGCGCTGCAGATCCAATGCCATCTGTATTCCTACAGCTTTATATGCCTTGAGAAACAGGAAACAAGCAAACAAAAAGGAGCGAAGTGTGGGGATGTGGATCCGAGCTCTGGAGAGAAATCTGGCAAGGAAAGGGAGATAGGAAAAGTGAGGTGAAGGCTGCAATTTTTTTTTTTTTTTTTTTTTTTGAGACGGAGTCTCACCCTGTCGCCTAGGCTGCAGTGCATTGGCGCGATCTTGGCTCACTGCAACCTCCACTTCCTGGTTTCAAACAATTCTCCTGACTCAGCTTCTGGAGTAGCTGGGATTACAGGTGTGTGCCACCACACCTGGTTAAGTTTTGTAATTTTAGTAGAGATGGGGTTTCACCATGTTGGCCAGGCTGGTCTCAAACTCCTGACCTCGTGATCCGCTCGCCTTGGCTTCCCAAAGTGCTGGGATTACAGGCATGAGCCACTGCACTCAACCCGAAGGCTGCAATTTTAAGATGAGTGCTCAGGGGAGACTCATGGAGAAGGTGACATTTGGGAGAGAACTGGGCAGAGGCAGAGCTTTGGGGAGTACCTAGGCCCCAGGCTCCATCTTTGCCCCATGCTAAATATGACCCATGCAGTTGTGATCAGGGTATCTGCATTCACCCTCTGCCGGGGGGGTATTGTGTAGGGCAGGGAGTCCAGCTCCAGAGCCCCTGCTGCCCCGGGAGCCACTGGGTCCCCCAGCCCAGCTTTCCCTCTCACCCTCAGGATTCACATCAACCCTGGTAGGGAGCAAACGCTGCAGCGCTGTTGGGGCTAAGGATTCCCAGACGAACTCCATCCACTCACGCCCTCCTGGGGTGCTCGTGGCCTCCTATTCCCACTTCTGCGCCTCCAACCTGTGCAATGGAGCCGACAGCAGCAGGGTCCTGCTGAACTCTCTCCCTCCTCAAGGTATGGCATCCAGGGCCATGGGGAGACAAGACCCAGACGCACAGGGCCCAAGGTGGGCGGCTGCTCTGAGCACAGACATGCACTCCCACCTTCCCTCTGCTCCCCAGCTGCCCCTGTCCCAGGAAACCGGCAGTGTCCTGCCTGCCTGCAGCCCTTTGGATCCTGCTCATCTGACTCCCCCAAAATGACCTGTCCTAGGGGCGCTGATCATTGTTATGATGGGTACATTCGTCTCTCAGGAGGTCAGTGCTGCAAGCGGGGCCCCAAGGATGAAGGCCCTGGGGGCTCTGGGCTCCTGGGTCTGAGGGAGGAGGGGCTGGGGGCCTCTGGGCTCCTGGGTCTGAGGGAGGAGGGGCTGGGGGCCTCTGGGCTCCTGGGTCTGAGGGAGGAGAGGTTGGGGGTCTGGACTCTTGGCTTTATGAATTTGGCTGGGCTGTACTTTGTGTCCTTTCTCACTTGGTCTTCTCCCTCTAGGTGGGTTGACCACCACAATGAGCATTCAGGGCTGCGTGGCCCAACCTGGCTTCTTGTTGAACCACACCAGGCAAATCGGGATCTTCTCTGTGCGTGAGAAGGATGATGTGCAGCTTCCTGTCCCTGAGCCCCAGGGAGGTGGGGCCGGGAGCCTGGAGTCTCTCACATGGGGGCTGGGGCTGGCACTGGCCCTGGTGCTGTGGTGGGGGACGCTTTGTCCTTCCTGCTAACTTCATTTTCCCTACGATTTTTCATCCCGCTGACCACCACACCCAACCATCCTTCTGACCTCATACCGTCATGGCCTTGGACACCAAATTCTTTTCCCAGCCTGTCCATGGATTATCTTCCCCCCACACAACCAATCACATCTGTTCACCTAATAAAGACCCTGGGGAGGACCCGGAGCAGCTGGACTTGCCCTATGGGAGAGGGGACATTGGAGGAGTGGCTGTGTGTATCTGATAATAAAGACCCTGTCCTTTCTCCCAGTGCTGGGATCTCTCCATGTGAGGGACAGCAGGACACCCAACGATCTAGCATGGGGGAGGAGAGTAACCTGATGAGAAAACCACCATTCAAAGCCTGCCCTTTATCGGTCTGGTTCACGTCTCTAAACCAGCTTGGATGGGAGCAGAGCCTTCAGGGTGCTCCAGCCAAGTGTATTTGGGCATCACCATGACCAGGGAGGGGAGGGTACCCTGAGAGGGGCCCTGCCACAAACAGGGGACTCACCCCATCTGAGCAGCTGCAGGAGAGGTTAGTGCAGTCATGCCTTGCTTCACAATGGGGATGTATTGTGAGAAATGTGTCGTTAGGTGATTTATCGCCATAGGGACATCATAGGGCGCACTTACGCAAACCCAGACGGTACTGCCATGTAACCCAAATCTTGATTCTTACAGGGAGTGTCTTGGATGGTCTTGTCATAGAGTCCAGGGAAGGCCAGTTGGAACCCTCAGTGTGTACGTATCTCTGTGAGGACAAAGCTCAGTCCCCTCCAGGATGGGACGTGTCCTGTGTGGCCAGCCTGTCTGTAGTGGCCACATAGTCGTGCTGTAAAATGACGCCTTCCAAGGGCTTAGCACCGGGCAGGGCTAGGTACAGGTCAGTCCTGGGAGGCTCAGTTTACTTGTGGTAAGGTCCATGGCCGTCCTCCCTGTCCATGTGGCCATCTGCACCTGGATCCCCTGAATAAACACTGAGGGACAGAGGCAGCCTGACACTGTCCACCAAACACCAAGAACCTCATCGTCACAGGACTTGCTCTGAACTTAAGGGTGGGGACGGCAAAGCTCACATGTTGTGCCCAGCCCCAGAGGAGCACCTGTGTCTACCCCCGCCTCAATTTTACTCTTTTATTCTCTTCAAGTCCTTGACTATGTGGCCCTCTCTGGGTTCATTCAGTGGACCCAAGTCCATCCCTCATTGCAGAACTCCTGAGGTTCTGCCCGCCTGAAGGATTTCCCTACGTCACTCCTCAGGGCCACCTGAAATGGGCACTAAGGCAGCTACTATCTATTTCTGCCGGGTGCCAGCTCACCATGAGGACGCATCCATAAGCCTGGTCTGCCCTTTCCTCCTCTGTACAAGGTCACAGGGTTTCCCGGGAGCTCACAGATGTGGTAGAGAAAGGGGCAGGAGGAGAGGTGCCCTGGGAGCCACGGGAGCCTGAGACACTTCCTGGCCTCGGACCTGCTCAATCCTGATGCCATACTCAGAAGCCCCGTGGGTGCTGGAGGCTGCTGTGCATGCCCCAGGTTATAGTTTGGTAGCTCAGCACCAGGACCTGAACTTGATTGCACTGGGCCCAGATATAAGCCAAGAGCCGCTGTCTGAATGAAGTTACCTGCAGGAGGAGGTGTGGAATTTCTCTAGAACCTGCAGTTCTGCACTGTGAATCTTGCGGAGCTTGTGAAAAGCTCCATAAAATAATGCCCTGGATTTGAAACATACATGCTCTTACATTGTTAATTTCTAAGTACACTCGTCCAGGAGATATTGAGAATCATATTTTGCAATTCCAACTGGAGTAATTTACTGGCAAGCACTGTGGTTCATTTCTTTTTCTTTCTTTTCTTTCTCTTTTTTTGAGACAGTCTCACTCTGTCGCCCAGGTTGGAGTGCAATGGCACCATCTCAGCTGAATACAACCTCTGCCTCTCAGGTTCAAGCAATTCTGCCTCAGCCTCCCAAGTTGCTGGGATTACAGGCACCTGCCACTTTGACTGGCTTTTTGTGTGTGTGTTTTTAGTAGAGATGGGGTTTTGCCATGTTGGCCAGGCTGGTCTCGAACTCCTGATCTCAAATAGTCTGCCTGCCTTGGCCTCCCAAGTTGCTGGGATTTCAGGCGTGAGCCTGTGGTTAATTTCTATTATAATTCTACTGTGGTTTAAACGGCTCCTTCCTTCATAATTTGTGGTTATTTCCTCTATCGCCTATTGCTTACTTTCTACCTCTTTGATATTTACTGCATATGAATTTATCAATCCCTGATTTTACTTCTTCAAAGCCAGCACGGGGGTTAGTCAAGTCTGATTTCCTCTTACAGGAAGAAAGGTTTTTGCTCCATCATATTTGTGTAACCAGGTTACAAGCTTTTAAAAATCAATGGTAAGTAACTGGAAAAAAAAAAAAAAAAGCAAAACTGTGGGCTACTCTGGACGAAGAAAGCACTGGAATGTAGATTTTATTTGTTTATTTACAGAGACATGAGCCAGTTTACACTCATTTAATTTCCAAATTATTCACATGAGGTCCTAAGTCAATTTCTGCCAACAAAAAACCAACTTGAAAAGCCGTTTAAATTCTACTAGTGGGACTCAGAAAGGTACAAAGGGGAAGACAGGGGTTAAGAAAAAGAGGAGAAAAGAGAAAGAGAGGCAGAGAGAAATGAAAATGTGACCCAAATGGGAGCCAGACAACGGAGTGGAGAAAAAGCCACGGAGAGGAGGTCTGCAGGTCTGAAGATCCGCCTCTTCTCCGGACGCTGATCCCAGACACACACTGAGCTTTCACTGTGACCACATGCTCCTCAGGGTGACACAGGGTGGGACCGCCTGCCCCTCGCCAGCCTTCCACAGCCCCTCTGCATGGACTCCCACCAGAACCCTACGCATGCTCGGAGGCCTCTTATTGCGGTAAATGACTTCTTGAACTTCCATTCCATCCACCGCCTCTTTCTTCTAGGTCAAGCATCTTCAACGGTCTGGATACGTTTCTTTGCTTCCATTTGTCACCTTCTACTCACTCGTCCACGTCCACTTGCATCTTCCCCTTTCTCTAACATTGCTCTTACTGTCATCAACATCTTCCTTTATTGCTAAACCTCCCAGGAACTCTCAGGTTCATTTGACACTGAAGGCCACTTCTTTTCCTGGAATAACCTCTGTGAGGTAAATACAAATTTTAAAAAATGTTTTTAGGCCTGGTACAAAAAGGGAAAGAAATCCTTTTCTTCCACAGCATTTTATATTTTATTCATTCATTCACTCGTCATTCATTGTCGGAGTCCCCCTCTGTCGCCTCGGCTGGAGTGTGGTGGTGCCATCCACGCTCTCTGCAGCCTTGAACTCCTGGGCTCAAGCTATCCTCTCCTCTCACCTTCCCAAGTAGCTGGGACTACAGGCGCATACCACAACACCTCGCTGGTTTATTATTATTTTTTTACAGAGATGGGATTTTTCTATAATGCCTAAGCTGGACTTTGTGAGCATTTGTTTTGTTTTTTTAGAAGAGGTATAATCAAAAATCCTTTCTCTGCCCGTGGAGATGTATGTTAGGCTTTCTAAAGCCTACTAAGCCTCTTACCTGCTGTACAACCCAGAACTGTTCTCCTCAAGGCCCGGAGCCCTCTCTTTGAAAGGCAGGCATCAGGGCAGAGAGCACCCCGTCTCCCAGTTTCTGTGTGAAGAACCTCGCTTCCGGAGGCATCTCACTCCCCGTTGCAAAAGTACCTCCTGTCATAGATAAGAGAGGTTTGTTTCTCCTGTGGATAAAGCCAGTTAACTACACAGAGAATCAACCCAGTTGCCAGGTGAATTTAGGATGAACTGCATGTGACACATGGTGCTGTCACATCCTCTCACCTGGGGACGAGTCACATCTCAAGACCCTGTGTGTAACGGGTGGCACCTGCTTGGCTGGATACAAGGGTGGGATTTCTTTCTGTCTTGGTAATCTCTTAGCAGACTGCGTCACATTCTGGCTTAATGCTTATTCAATAACAAGACGGGTTTCTTTTACTTCTGCATTGTGAGGGGGGTTTCTGGGCTGAGCAGAAACTTTGTTTTTTAATTCTATTTTTCCAGCACCCTCCCACTCCAGCTTCTCTGAAGCTGCTTCCCCCAGGCTTTAAAGGAGGCTGCTCCCCGGGGTCCCTCCTGATCCTGCCTCTTCTGGTTCATCTGATCTCCCAGCCTTGTGGCATCTCAGCTTCCCTCCCTTCCATGCACTGACATCTCTCAGATCTCAACTCTAGGCAGGACCCGGCTTCTCAGTTCCTCAGCTCACACACCCACCTTGGCATGGGTGTCTGCACGGGGCCGTCCTGCCGGGAACTCCTGGTGGAACACGGTGCATGTTCTCTGGCTGTCCTGCAATTTTTAAATGCTACTGGTACATGTGGGGAATGTTCTGCCTTCCCAGGGAGGAAGCCAGAAAGTTCATTTTCCCGGCACTCCTTGCAGGAGGGACACCGACAGGGGCCCAGGCGTTCCCTGTCAGCTGCTCCCATGAAAGACTCGGGATCCCAGGCAGCACCAGGAAGCAGAGGGCGCACGGCACCAATTTGATTTTGGTTTTGTTTTTATTGTTTTGAGTGGGGATGGGGGTGGCGGCCCAGAATCTTCTGGACTCCAGGACCAGCCTCGGCAGCGCGGGGTGCAGGGTGTGGTTTCTGCCTCCCGCAGTGGCCGGAAGATCTCGACCAAAGCTGTCCTGTGCCTGTGGTCTGGTCCTCGCCCTGGGCCCAGTGGCCTCCAAGCTGGCTTCATGGGGGCCCTTGGAGTTTGGCAGCCTTCCTACCGCGCCCTTTAACCAGTCCTCTTTCTGCTTCTTGCTGGAGTGAGCTGGGCGGTTTCCTCCAAATCGGCTCCTGTCTGGGGTTCTCTCCTAGGGAAGGGCACCCTGGGCATCTGACCCCTCAGCCGGATGCCCAGCAGACGTTCTCATGCTTCCACTGTCCTTGCCCTTCATGTCTGGTGGTCACTCCTTTCTGTCCCTTCCATGTCCCACATCTCTTTCTGCTGTGGCCTGTCCTCTGCATCCTGTGGCCTCCACCTGAGTCTGCGACACCACCCATTCTCCCTTGAATGAATGCAGTGGTCTCCCCAGGTCTCCCTGGCTCCATGGGGGCCATCAGCATCCAAGCCAGCTTCTTCCCCATGGCAGAGATGATCTTTCTCCGTCTCCTGCTCCTCCTCTTTCCAGAGCGCCCAAGTCCCCGGGGTGTGCTCCAGCTGCTCAGAGAGGCCTCTAAGGTTGGGTG